TATATATGCCTATGACGTAGTAGATGACTCAGCCTACTGGATGGGGATGATGTACATCAGTATGAGATGAAGATCATCATTAGGTGTCAGTATTGCTAGCCACTTGCTAAGGACTAGACATTACTGGCCAGGTAATGTCCAATACCACCCAGTTTGGCCCGCAACAGCATTTTACTGGGGAACCTTCCAAAACTTGGAACAAGCATTCTGTTGTGATATCACATAAAAAGCTTGAAAATAATTCTCTATTTGTGCGTAAACACACAGACACAGACGTTACAAAATTAAATTCATATTAATGAGTGATTGTAGCCTAATTTTTTTCAGGTTCATCTCCATTTAGACTATATTTTAAGGTTTTGGATCACACAGTTTTGTTTAATTCACTATTGTATAGTTCTATTTGTTTTATGTATAATTTTGCTGGATTAAATTGTTATGAGTTGACCAGAGGAATAGGGTAATTCCTGAGTCAAGGATATAAGGCAGTGAACACCAGAATATCCAGGTCATGGAAAGCTGAAGATTCAAGTAGGTGGAGTATGAAGTCATTCCTTATCTTATTTTGGAGTTGGCAGACATATTCGTGAGCATGTGTTTAGAAACTTTCTCAAAGGAAGAGGCAGCAGCGGCGGGGGGGGGGGGGGGGGGGGGGGGGATGACACTAGTCAAAATGTTTCTAATGTGGGATTGGTAAATTTTGAGGATATACTGTAAGTAAATATGGAGACCCCTTAGGAACATATCAGCAGTTGTGTTATATTCGGGTGTTTCTTTGCTCTAAAACATGAAAATAATGTATCCTATGTAACCAAAGAAAAATCACAACTTTTCTGCTTGGAAATATGTAAGCTGCAAACAAGTTCAGCTTGGGTTTCCTCTTTAACCAAACCTTAACAAAAAGCAGCAGGAATCTTTTTTTCTGTTTAAACATCCCTACCAACATTTTAAATGATGTAAACCAATGCTGTCTCCAATTATAAATGAATTTTGCCATCACCTCCCCACTATATAACATCATATTCAAGGTTTTGCTATAGTTTTCCCCCAGGTGTGGTGATAAGTTTCAAAGATGTATGTAGAATAGAATTATTTGTGGTTTTCTTTGCTGATTAAAGTAGTAGTGCTACTAAAGTCAGCATGGAGTAGTGGTTTGAATGTTGAATTATGACTCTGGAGACCAGGGTCAAATCCCCACTTTGCCATTGAATCCCACTAGGTGACCTTGGACAAGTCATAGCCTTTCAGTCTCAAGAGGAATGTGTCATTCAAAGTGTGTCATTAAACTCTTTGTAAAAAAATATTATAAAAAAAACCCAGTGACAGATTTACCTTAGTTGGAAACAACTTGAAAGCACACAACCACAACAATTGCAAGTACTACAAAACTAGTGTGATGTAGCAGTTTGAACTTTGGATTATGACTGTGGAGACCATGGTCTGAATCCCTGTGCAGCCATGGAACCATACTCTTTCAACATAAGTCAGAAATGGTTCTTCTCAACAAGAAGATAACTACTATTACCAGTCTCCCAGAAAACACATTTAAATTTTACTCTCAGGCCCCATGTACACTGCCATATAATCCAGTTTCTGAATCCAGATTATCTGCTTTGAATTGGATTTTAGGCAGTATAGACTCATAGACTCCAGTTCAAAGCAGATAAGATGGATTCAGAAACTGGATTATATGGCAGTGTAGATCCAGCCCCACTCTCCCCACTCTTCCCTGTCTCTTTCCTGTCTCTTTCAATCTCTCTATTTTTCCTTCTTCCCTATGCCCCTTTATATGTGTGAAGAATTCCATGACTGATTTGGCTTGCATCAACATTTATGGTCACATTGTCAAAGTTTAGATGGTGAGCTACAGACTTAAAGCAGGTTTTCACTTTGAACATTTCCCATGTATTTGTTTTGCCTATTCAGAATGTATCATTAAAGAAGGGGTCCACAAAATTGTTGGTCAAACCCTAAATTATAATTACCTAAAATGTATTTCATATCATGCCAGAAACCACATTTGCTTCAAGTACTAGAGAATATCACTTTATTGTTTAATAGTGGCCTGCCTTGTCTCATTCCCTTACATTAATTAGCCCAAAGCTAGCTATTTCAATGAGCATGCCATGTCAAAAAGTTGTAGAATTATTTTAGATGCAGATGTTTAGGGAGGAACTGTTTTGGAGAAGAGAAGTAGAACAGCAATGGGCATCAGTTATGATTGACTTCTATCTCCTGTCTACATGCTGAAAAATGCATGGTTTGCTGGAGTAGAAATAATATTGTGTTTACTCACTTGCCTCTCCTTCTCAGAATGGTTTTGCTATCTCTCACACACTGGTGAGTATAGCTTCAGTGATTAGTGCTAATAAAAATATCCACACTCTCCATAAACCAGGCTCCAACATCTTTTCCCCCTTCTTTTTTCAAGTAAATATTTTGTATGGTTGTCATGCAACTAAATTTCCATTAGATTCTCATAAAAATGAATTAACGAGTGATGAATAACGAGTGTATTTGTACAAGCTGCATTTAAATAGAAAGCAAACGGGAGGCTCTTCTAAGTATAAGCACATGTACCTGATTCTTCCATCTGCTCTGCTACTAATATGAAATTTACCATCTCTGGAAACCAGGCTTGCAGGCAAGTCGTCATGCTTTTAAGAATAGATCATCACATTATCTGGGTAGATTTTACAGCTCGTTCTTCAAAAGGCATGAGCACCTGTAACATTTAGTTATGTCCATGTCTTGAGACTAGCTTGATTGTTCTTTGGACATGCCTAGGTAGGTTTGACTTCTTGCTTTCTCTAAATGGCTGGCATGCACAAAGGTGCCTCTTCGAAAGCTCTGTAGTATGGTTTCACAGCATTTGCCTATCATACACAAAGTGGAATAGGGACTGAAAGTCACCGAAGATGTCTTGGAATGTTATTGATGAGTTATAGAATAAGTCACATGAATCCTGAATGTGTATTGGTATGTATGCCAACCCTTTGACCCTGCTTTCATGTTAGCTGTGCACTAAATACATCACCCAAAAATGCAATATGATTTATTTCAATACTGCAGTGTAACACATTTGCATGAGCACAAGGATTCAAGGCTCCTTGAAAGAACTAAAATGTGTCAGAGAAGGTAGATTTAATGCAATGGTTATTTACGACTGCCTGAAAAATAAGTCCTGAGTGCTCTCTAAAACAAAAAACAACAACCAAAATAAAGGGGAAAGGATTTTATGCCAGTTTGCTGATGACAGGATCTAGTGCTTTTCTGCCTTTCCTCATGGCATCTGAAGAGGGAAGGTTGCCTTGAACTCCTTCATTATCCAAGGGGAAAATCAAATATAGTGGCTTCTTGTCAGAGCTGCTTTATTGCTATCATTTAGAAAGGTCGACTGAAATAATTGACTTCTTGTAAACATATTGTTAATCTCCCCCACTTTCTGACATATTTATGAGGAATTGACAGGTAGGAGAAAGATAACTGGCCTTTCCCCCATCTTTTTTTTTATGGTGGTGGTGGTGGTGGGGATGTATTTTATTTCTCTTGCATTATGCACAGCAGAACCAAGATTAACTTTCCAGACTGGAGTTGTCCATGAAAATCACTGCTTTGATAACTGGAAGTGAGGAAGGAGGGACTGTTTCCTCCAGTGTTGTATGTGGGGAGGGGAAGAGAGAAAGGATCCATTTGTGGAGGCATGTTAACTCCTCAGTTGCTTTGCCACAAATGGACATCGATTGCTCAGAAAATATTGTTCCACCTTTAAAAAAAACACACACACACAACAACAACAACAACAACAGTTTTTCATAGCATTCGCCCATGGTCATTTATCCTCCCTATCCCTGTTTTTGAATTGATAACCTCTATCTAACATTAATAATAGAGAAACATGTCTCCTGTTATACATAGAGGATAGCAGTTTAATGATAAAGAGAAGAACTAGGTTCAGTTTTCATTGGGTGTGTTACATTCTTCCCTCCCACCCCTATTCATACATACACATCCATGCACACACATCCATGCTTTCCTGACAAGCCTTTACTTTGTACTTCATTTTTTGGGCACACTTTTTTGTGTATCCCAAATCAAAGTCATGGTCGAGCCTGAGCACAACTAGTGAAATACGATTGCCCCTCCCTGCTTAGAGCAATCACTTCTCAGCTTATCTATTTGGGGGGGGGGGGGGGAGGGGGGACAGCAATAAGCATACAATAAAGGATCTGAACCCTCAGCTTTCTCTGCTGGAAATGCACTTAGAGGCGTCATGCTGTGATTGCTTTAATTACCATAGAAGATTAAAAGTCTTTTGCTTAATGCTGTCCTTTATACCTTGCATGTCTCAGTTCCAGCTGCATTAGTAATAATCAGACATTCATATTGGCCTTTCAGTGTGTCAGAGCGCTCTCTCTCTCTCTCTCTCTCTCTCTCTCTGTATGTGAGGGAGAGACTGGGAATCAGAGGGGGAGAGGGAAGAAGGGAGGGAAGGAGTCATTTGCTACACTTCTTAAAATGTAGCCTGGCAGAAATTCAATAACTGTTTGTGATATTCTCATTCAGCTTTCGTGCTCAGTGACTTTTGGGTCCCAGTGTGACATACAGTGGCATTTGCTGTAATCCAGCTATTGGGAGGGGGGTTAAAAAGCCTGTCCAGTATCGCATGTAATTGGTTTCCAAAGACGGAGAAAGTGCGCCGTTCCTTTTTGCACTGAAGACACTGAGCATCAGATTATGCAGACCTTTGGCTTAGTAAGCACCCCTGTGAGAGAGTCTTAGGGGTGAGGGGAAATTAGATTAATGAGGATTCAGTGGAAATGGTTGGTGGCTCAAGGCAGACAGGGCTGCCTTTGTAATTCTCTCTGAAAGAGTATAATATGGAGAAGGTGGAGAGATGGGGATCTTTCAGGATTATTATTCTCTTTTTCAAAGCAAAGAAAAGCAAAAGGTGGTTCAGCAACACAAAAGCACAACTTAGAATAAGCAAATACACTTACCCGAGAAGAGTAGTTTCCCTCCTGGAACACTCCGACATATTTGGATCCCTTAGTTCTGGTAGCCACATCGTGATGCTAATGCCAGCCAGCCGATTCGATGCATGCACTGATAGTGTGCGTTATGGTTGTCTCGATAGATCCTGGAATAGGAGGGAATCTCTGTGCAGCAGGCTGAGATCCTTTACTTTTTTTCCAAGAGCTCTTGTCACCGACTGTGGGTAGCTCACAATCCAATGGAGGAGGGGAGAGGAAGAGAAGAGGGAGAGGGAGAGCGAGCCAGCCAGCCAGCAAGAGCGATGCCTGCTAGCTTTTCTTCTTCTTTCTCCTTGTTTCCATGGTGGTTAGTGGTGCATCGTTCACCCGATCAGTTGTCACACTGACATGGTGCTGCCTGCTCAGCGGTCATTAATAACTGAACACCCTCGACTCCCCAGAGAGGAGCCAATAGCTTTGGAGTGCCAAGATGTAGCACTCGTAGCTGCTCCAGTCTGGTTGGTTGAGACAACCTGTCTGTTAGATGACATTGCTGCTTAGGGTGCAAATAGACCAAGTGACCCTTTCCCTGCTTCGTGGCATTCCTTCTCAATAGGTTGAAAGCAAGGAGCATAAACCCCCTACCCTTGGAAGCACTGGAGTATATTTAATGTGTAGGATGTTCAAGAGCTTGGAAGATATTAGGAACAGGTGATCGGAAATAGATGACTTTCAATTCAAGTTGAATTGGCTCAGTAACAAAATTAAGTCTCTCTTTTACAGTGTTGTGATCTCTCTATTAATCTTACATTGTAGTGAAGCTCTGTTGTACTCTTTCTCTTTCTCATTAATGTGTTTTGCAGCATAGCAAATGAGGTGATTGACAGACAAATACACATTTCCACTTATTTCTGAATATAAAATATGAAGTCATTAAACAAAGCACCAGTGATATCCATAAGGAAGCATACAGAGAAAAGGATTTTTTTTCTCTTTGATGCCTTTATTTGAGGGGTGAGGTCTGTGAGTTTGGACTGATGTAAATCAATAGACCACATCAGTTGTTTTCTTTCACACTTTTCTCCATTTCTCAAGAAACAAGCATAGTTTGGAAATACAAAGAATTATGAATGTGTTCAAAAAGGCATTCTTCAAACAAAGATTTATATATTTAATTCAAAGTGTTGATGGCATTTACGTTGATCAACAGGTCAAATTCAGAACAAATGATTGGATTTACTGTACACATTCACCAATAATCCTGCTTTCAGGACGCTACCCTCTAGTGGAATAAAATAAAACTTATTTGTCATTTATTCACATTCTCTTCAGAATATCTTTGACAATGAAGTGCAATACCGTTATTACAATGCTGCAAGAAACTCCTTGTTTCTCCATGCAGTGAGTGCAATATACATTGAGAAGTCATATTCCTATTCCAAAAATAACAGCAGATTCAACAGTACTAAAAAAGTACTATAATATATTGTATACACATATAATACTGATAATAATATTATAATGTAATACAATATACTACTACTAACAATACAATATAATAATTATATATTTTATATTACATTTAATATTACTAATAATATTACAGTATAGTGGTATAGTACAATATTGGAATATATGGTACTAATATTGTGTTATGCTAATAATATAATATTTTGTATTTACATATAACTTGTAAGTTGCTCTGAAACCCCTTTGAGGTGAGAAGGGTGGCATATAAATAAATAAATAAATAAATAAATAAATAAATAAATAAAATGACAGGTATTAACTGTTGTCCTACTGCAGTATTTTATTGCAAGTTTTTTACTGCTTTGTTTTATTGAGAATGTTTAGGATATAGTGCCAATATTTTGGCTTGAATTCTACTATTAATCCCCAAAGGACCAATCCGTTTTACCTTTGTGTTCATTCATTATTTAGTAATTTTAGTAATCTTGCTGGGATTAACCAATTGGAATCCAATTGTAGCTTCTCTCCTGTTGCACTCTAACACTGAAACATCTTTTTACCTAGCAGCACACCAGAGTCCAGTAATACAATCTAAAAATGTTTATTAAGGAAAGTAGGTACAAAGGGAAAAAAGGGGCATTTCCAAAAGGGTCAGTAGAATAGAAAATGCAAAAAGTAGCAATCAAAAAATTGCAAAGTACATAAAGTCAAGAGAATCAGAATCCACAGCAGTTATTCAAACATGAATCCATAAACCAGCAAACCCTTACAGGAACAAAGACATGAGCCAGAATAGGAAACTTGAATCATGAACTTGAGAGCTGAGACAGGAAAATAATCATTTAGCAACATTGTCTCCTCTGAGAGGCTTGAAGCCAGACTACGTAATATAAGCCCATCTAGGCACCCATGACATCATGCCGAACACACCTGGACTAAAATCTTCTCACGGATTCTGTGGGAATATTTAGTTTGTCTGTTTTGACATCCTCCATTCTTGGGCCTAATCTAGTGTCCTGGGAAAACTCCCCATCAGTTCAAGGACTTTCATTTCCCCTGTTGCCTGCGAAGCAGCACCGGCCTCAACTGCCTGCAATTCTCTCCGATCACATACTGGCTCCTCATTTTGAAACCCAAAATCCAACTCATTCTCTGACAAATCCTCAGAAACTTTCTGTGCTACAACACCTACTAAAACTGTTAGTTTGAAAACTACTGGGAGATTAATTGGTCAGTGAGGACTGCACAGGCAGGAAAGCTTCATGTGTACATCACACAATGGACTTTACCCCAGAACATTGGGCATCAGGACTGTCTGGGAGTCAGCTACATTAAGATCACTACTGACCGAAAGGTTGAGTTCAAAGCTAGCTCAGGTCGGAGTGAGCTTCCGACCAATTTGTGTAGCTTGTTGTCAACCTTTGCAGCCCAAAAAACAGTTTCATCTGTCAAATAGGACATTTAGGTACCCCAATATGTGGGGAGGCTAAAAATCTCCAGCAAGCATGCGGGGAATGAGGAAATACTTCATCAGTGTCGCTGTTGGACGGTGAAGTGACAGCTCCCCTGGTGGCCAGAAAAAGTTGGAATGTTAAATAGCCTCTGACTGTTTGTCTATATATGTTGTGTGTCTATGGTGTTGAATGTTTGCCATATATATGTACATTGTAATCCACCCTACGGGGTGAGAAGGGCAGAATGTAAATACTGTAAATAAATAATAAATAAAGAAATAAACATCTCAGTAGTGCACAGGTAATTTCCTGGATCATATTATTTTCACAAGTGTACATATTAGTGTCCTGAGTGAGAGCCACCATGGGGAAAGTGCTTTGGCAAAGTAATAGGGTATATAAATGTCAGATTATAAAGTTATTTAATAACTATCTAGGTGTTCTGTTTTGGGTGATTGTTACAGACTGTATAACTGGAGGGCTAAATAAATGAACGAGTTCAAATGTATAAGAGGAATAAGGTGTCAGACCTCAATGGCTGTTTTTAAAATGGTTGAGAGATTTACAGGTACACACAGGAACACTGTTTGAGTGGAATTTAACCAATATACCTTATTTTAATTTTCATTTGGAATATTTTCAAGGATGCTTTAAAGATGTTTCAGAATGCTTGCAAAGCAAAATCATCTTTATAACTGAGACAATTATGATGATTAGAGTTCATTAGAGGGGTTTTCCCCCCTACTGATTTTGTCATGATGATTTGCAGCATTAAAGTGTCAAGGTATCTTATTCAAGTCAGTTCTTGTATAGATTTGTAGGTTATGCCCTTTTACATAATTACATGACTGCATCCTATGAATTTCTGGGATTTGTAGTTTGATGAGGCACTAGGATTCTCTGGTTGGTAATTTCCATAAACTGAAAATCACATAATTAAATAGAATACTGCCATGGTAAATAAAGTAGAATCATAATTGTGTAGCATTAAAATTCCATAAATGTCTTCTCGTTGATGTACTGAGTAATTTGGACATCATTGTACTCTGTTTCTGTTTTCCATCAAATAGCAGTAAGCTGGAGGATGAGCTAAATCAAGCCAACTGATATTGAGGCAAAGTTCAGGAATAACGACAGAATTAACTTGCCCAGTTCCTCCCCATTTTGTCGAAACTTAGGTTTTTTTTGGAGCTTATATATGCAGTGGTTCCATGGCTATCAGATCTGTATATTTAACCATCCTCAGACTGAAAATGCAAAAATAGTTGAAAAAAGCCATTGGAACTGTAGATGAGAGTCTATTGAACAAGCCAGTACCTGCCGCATACCAGTATGCCATCTGTTGAGAAATTATGAAGGTGGAGGCATTACTTTTCATTCAACCCTCATAGTACAACTAGCCAAAAAGCAGTCTTAGGGCAGTAGCACAAATGGTTCCATGGAAATGGAAGATGGATTTATGAGTTCCTATGAATACTGTGCAGGACATCATGGTGGTGGGGCAGGTATTCAAATTTTGTACTGACCATTCCCAAACCTTTGGGTGTCAGAATGGTAGTTCATTTATGATTATTGATGTAGCTATTGAAGATTGATGTCAACTGAGAAGAAGACAGTAAGCTTGCCTTATCTGAAGGGGTTCAGTTCCAGGACCCTGCACAGATGAAATAAAAGTGGCTGATCACACTTCTAATATTAAATGGCGGCAGAATGAAAATACATGCTTCACCATGTCCATGTTCATTCGCCACCAGTAAATGTTATGGTGTGTGATAATCTGTTGTGGGTGGAAATTGCAAAATTGGGGCTCCCTGTAGATTACATTGCGCTTTGCTGTAAGAACAAGAGAGAAGTTCCTTTTCCAAATCCTTGTCGTAATAGATTTTTTTGCCATGTAATGTCTATAAACAGGACCTTCTCGGTAGTGGTGCCCCCATTTTAGAACATTCCTCTGTCTGATGTACAAGAGATAGAGACTGTGACAACTTTCAGATGTCTTCTGTTCATTATGAACTCTTAATGATTCTGACACTGCTCTCATTTACTGTTTTGATATTGATAGTGCTGTAGTTTTACATTTCTGTTTGGTAAAGAGAAGGTGTGCTTGGATGAGCCCTGGTGGTCCCCATTTGGAAAAGAAAGCACAGAAGAGGAAGAGGTTTTCCTAATCTGTCAAAGGCAATTAGAAAAGAATAGAGAACTTGGAAGGACTCTGATAAAACAGCCCTTTCTCACTGACTAATACAAACCTATTGGTTGGGGGGGGGGGGGGGGGGGGGGGAGAGACTATTGCCTGGTATGAACCAGCTAAAGAAAAAAAAAGGCTCTTCATTACACACAAATATTCACACCTACTTTTATGTAAATACCTTGATTAATAAACAATGTAATGCTGTTTGTCATAGCCAATCAACAGAGCTTTTAGCTAAATAATAATAATAATAATAATAATAATAATAATAATAATAATAATAATAAATGTTGTGTTTCAAATAATAATAATAATTTTATTTTTGTACCTCACTTGCATCTCCCCAAATGGACTCAGGGTAGCTTACATGGGGACAAGCCCAATCAACATATTTAAAACAACACATTCAAATTCATAAAAACAGCAACAAGCAAAATAAAACAACAACAGCACAACACAATATAAAACAACGATCAAACAGACAACCAGTAGCCTGAGATAGTAGTGCA